TAATGGGATAGATTATTAATCTAAAAAATTATAAAAATGCATAAATGAATAATAGGATAGATTTAATCCTAAAAAATTTATAAAAATGCATAAGTGAATAATACGATAAATAAATTTTTGGAAATATATATTTATTCATGGATTTTGATACTTGCACTTGATTTACAGAAGCTCTCAGAATTTAAATGATATTGTATATTAGTTCGCAGCAATAATTAATCATTTATTTGTTTGCATTAAATTTCATTTAAATTTAATTAACTTTAAATTTGCTTTTTACGAACAGAAAATGTTAAATTCAAATTTCATTCCTTGCAGCAATGGCTCAAGATAATTATTTAAATTTAATTTATTTTGAAACCCTGCAGATATATATATATATATATTTTCGTTTCACTTTTATGTGAATGTATATATATACATGTGCTCAGACTTTGGGATGTTTACGACTCTAAATTTTCATTCCAATTAACATGAGACAGTATAAATGCCCTAAACATTTTTTAACAAAAAATTACTATAATAATTGCTTTTAAATTCAGTCCTCTCCGGCAGAAGCGCAGGAATTAATTAAATATTTCCATTTTCTTTACCTAATGTGTGTATATATAAAGAGAAAAATCTTATTTTTATAACTTCTTTTATAAAAAGCAATATAAATTAAAAATGTTTAAATTAAAAATAATATTTTATGGATTATGCATAAAATATAACTGCCTGTAGTACATTTTAAAACAAACGAGAATTCTAATAAATTATCCAGCTATGACCCTGAAGTCAGCGGTATACAAGCATAGCAAATTTTGTGTAAATATTGTGAACATTTCTTTACAGCTGCTCTGTACTTTTAAAGTACAGTCAAAAGTCGTTAATCCGGACTCGTCAGGACTTCGGCGATTCCAGATTATCGATTTTTCCGGATTATTATAAATCATCAGTTTAAATCTCGTAATATGGCATGGTGAAATTCTAAAATTAAAAATATGAAACCGTAATTTATGAAATAAAGAACAATTATGATCTAAAGGGTATCAAAATTTACAAAAAAAAAAGCTTAATATTTATTTGTTTAATTTATTAAACATTTCTTTCAATGTAAGTTGTTTAAGTTGCTTCGTTTTATGTGATCATACTTTCTCTTTAATTCTATAAACAGACATAATTTCTTGTTCAGTTACAAAGTTCCGCTGTTCAAGTCCCGTTAATTGCTGTGCCGAGAATACCGATTAATAACTTGTCAATCGAAATTTTTTCGTTTTCACTAACCTCTCTGTCACATTCTTCATGTCTTTATCCATTTTTTGCAGCAATTCCACTTTTTGTTTGTTGGACATCGAAACATACTTTCGTTTTGTAGATCCTTTGGAAGTTCCAGCATCGGAAATTCTATTTGTCTTATTTGACATAATTGAAAGTTCAAGTTTACTTTTATAAAATTGCTCTTACAGTCTGCAAAAAATAATAAGCGGGAAAAAATAATAAGAAAAAATAATAAGAAAAAGAGACCAGATACCAGTGTAGAACGTCAGGTATCACTCTGTGTTGTCCCTTGTTTCAAAAACTATCATACAAAGATTAATATTCAACTTTTTTTAGTTTGCCCGAGATAACTCGGGATAGTAAACTAATATTAAAAATTAATGCTTTTACACCTTCAAAAAATTAAAATTCAACTTAAAACCTTCATATTTTGGTTTGTTTCATTTTGTTGTATTTAATAATAAAATAAAAAAATTTGATGATTTTTTGCAATTTTTTTCAAAAAAAATTTGTAAGGGAAGCGGTTAATATGCAATCTTGAAGATGTGGCATGTTCACATGGCCATACCATTTTGACCACTCATGGTATCGCAAATGTATCCATCTTCTGTTCCACATGACACATTTGTGCAAAACAGTACATAATTTTACACAAATGTGTGGTTGCAAATCAAGGAAAAGTTAACTTATTGGCATAGCTGTGTGCACATTTATTAATTTTGATGAGGATGGCAGCATTTGGAGGTAACTTAATTTTTTATTTAACCCAAATAAGTAAAAAGTGTAAGCCCAAAGTGATTATTTTTCAGTTATATAAAAATAAAATGACAAGTTTAAAATTAACAACTATAAATTTTTTGCTTTAAAATTTTTTAAAAAGTACATGTTACATTAATATGCAGATGACATTTTATTTAAAACATTTTTACGCTTTGGAACATAATATAAAAATAGCGAATACTCTATCAAGGGTATCGAAAGACATATACAATTTTAAAGGTACACTAAGGTACTTTTCATTCTTTAAAGCAGACCATTTTTGCTAAAATTTATATTTTAGTAGTTCAGCTTAGAATTCAACAGTTCAGTCAACAGCTTAGAATTTTATAAAACAAATTCATAATTAAAATCGCTGTTGTTAGTTATCGAAAACTAACCAAGATGCGATTTTTGTGTAAATGTCACTAAATTATATAAACTGCTATCATCCATCACACAATGAATGTTTCTTTTATGCAGAAGTGTCCCATTTTTCAATTTGTATGGAACAGTCGAGTGTCGAAAAATCATCAAAGCGCTCAAGAGAGTTTCTGAATTTAACAAAAAAACGTCTCATCTAGAGACCGAAGCTTCAAAGCAGTGCTTCACTCCCAGTGCTAGTTTGGCCCCTCCTTAATTTCCTACCTCCATGGCTGACACATCACAAAAAAATGCTAACAATCTAAAATTTCTGCTACATGAGAAATAAACTCCCTGCATTGTTTATCATTTTGATATTCGAAAGCAATGCCTACTTGAAAATTTTTAAGCAGCTTAATCATATATTTAAAATCAGAAAATGGCTTACTATGCTTTGCAATACAATAAGCCATGTTACGTAAGTTTTCTAAGTACTGAAATAATCTTTCATCCATTTTTCTTTGGCACACTATTAATGGTGGACTCTTGACAATAGAAAAGATTCAACAGTGAACCAATTAAAACACAATAACATGCAGAATAAATACTAATTCAGAAGTCAAACAACAAAAATCAGTGTTATATTTACAAAATTTTCACAGGACTAGTTTTGATGGTTTTACCGAACCACCATGCGGTTTTGCAGCTGAGGATGGTGGTTCTGTAAAACCACTTTTGAATTTGAGAGATTGAATGTTATGTGTACTAAGTGATATTTGATTTGTTTTTACAGATTTGACAATACATGGAAGATGAAAGACCAAAAGCTACTCTTAAGCCACATTTTATTGTTTCACTTCAGGAAAGGGAAGAATGCACAAAAAGCCCATGAAAAGTTATGGCAACAAAACAGACTAAATCCTTAAAGACTTTTCTAACAATTTAATATATACCTGTCCTGCATGAAGATGTCTGATTCTTGAATTCCAAACACTGCAAGAAGCTGAGACTATAATACAGAAATAATCAATGACGGAATACAGTGAGAATATAAAATCCAAGAAAAAAAAAATTCTTTTAGTGAAGGAAAATTTATGATTTCATACCTATTCCAAGTTACAATTATTGCAATAGAATGAATTCTAAGAGACCTCAAGCTATACTAAGACTTTTGCATCAATAAACTCTATTTTATGATGTGGAAAATTATGAATTTACCGGCATCAAAAAGCTGGTTAAATTTAGATACTTTTATCTTAAATCAAGATTTAATCATTGGAAATTTTAGAATATAAAGTGCATGTAAAAGCAAACTGCAGTAAGTGAAAATAATGCCATATTATCTTATAAATTTGCATAGTAACTACTGTAAATGTTTAAAAAAGAAACCTTAACAATGGCTAAGCTCAGATAATTTTTATGCAAACAAATAGTTCGAAAGTTCTGTCAAGACCCTAAAATATGTTTTGACAAAAGGGAATTCTATAGATTTCTTTAATAGGCTGGAAGGGTGGAAATATTTAATGCAGATAACTTTAGAGTGTGTAAGTAAATAACTTGTACTTCATGCTGGCTATCTAATCCTCAGCTTAGTCTCTTAATTTAAGCTAAGATTTATAAAAATTACACAATTTTCTTCATATTCCTAGAGTTATAAACAGAAGAAAAAATATTTACATTATGAATTTTCTAAGTTGCCGTATAACTTGAAAAATTATAATATTCTTCACCTATACATAAAAAAAAAAAAATATCTTGCTACTTTTAAGATCTTATTTAATATCAGCCCTTAAGATTTATTTAACATCAATCAATATACTTGAAGCTATATTTCACTAAATTACGATTACCTTAATCTTCAAAATCACGGAACAATATTCTAACTTACCAGATTTTACTCTACATCCCTACATTAAAACTTTAATGAACGTAAACTTAAATTATATAAATTCATTATTCATGCTATGGCAAGGGAGGAAAAAAAGGAAAAACCCATTTCACATCACATCTACGGAGTTATTTTCAATAGTGAAATAATAAATATATAATAATTATCTATAAGGCAGAAATTCAGTCCCCCGTTTCATGCTATAAACGTTACCCTGAAACATTAATAAAACATTTAATAATAATACAAACTACAATATTCTAAATTTCACATACACAAACCATTATGTCAAGTTATCATAATGGTAAACGTTATCAATGATAAGAGTATCTTAAATACGCATGACGCAGTGGATATTTGCTACTAAGAAGAACGAATAAAAATCAACTGAAATAAACTTTTCTGTATTGAATATGAAAACTTCGGAGCATATTAAATGCCTTCCTTCTTTTTAATTCGCATGATTTCCCGCCACATTTTCATAAACTTCATATACACTTTATACAATATCATTCATTCACAGCGGCATAATCTTTAATTCTTTTGAAGTCGTAATTATTCAGTTACAATTATAATACAGAACATCGGATAATGAATATAGGTAGTTGCTTGATAAAAAATGAAAGTTAGGAAAACTTATTGGATATAACACCTCTTAAGCCTAACCAACGGACACTAGGCTTATGATAAAGCGGCCCTAAGACAGTACTACGTAAAACAAAATAAATCATACCTGGTGACACAGTCTTTTCTAAAATGCTTATTAAATCCATACTGCATATAGATTGACTGTCTTAAGAATTACAACTAATTAAACACTAGAAAATTGGGAATCAAATTATATCAGCTTATAATTAAACGTTACCACACCGTCTCCGGAACAAAATGAATTACCGGCAAACGCAGCTTATCGCGCTCCACATGGCAATGCGCGGTAATCTACGCGCAGATGGCGAGAAACCCATTGCATGATGAGTAAGAAACAAATTTTCTTATTGGATACATTTCGCAGATGGTGAATATTGTAGCCAATTAAATGCAGGCATAAATACGAGTTTGTAATTAAAGTAATAGAAGTTCTAAAAAAAATTCCAATTAAAATTGAAAGTAATTCAAATTATGAAAGCTTTAAACTTTTTTTTTTATTTTTTCAAAAATTTTCAACATAACTTTGCATTATTACATTATATCGGCAGTTATAATATTTGTTATATATATAGATAGTTTATAGGCATAGGGAGAAAGATTTGCACCTGTACTTGCTGTCATTGTTTTCTAGAATCTTTATTTGGGAAATTTCTAGATTAATATATGTAATTTAAATCTTCAGTATTGTTATTGTTTAATTTTGAAGTTTTGTTTTCTTAAAACACTAATTTGAAGGTAAAAGGAGTTTCGAATTTTACCCAGTGGCATAGCGAGGGGGGGTCAAGGGGGTGCATGATGCCCCGGGCGCCGCTCGTAGAGGGGCGCCAAATGGTCTCCAAATAAGAGTTTCCGGAAAATTTCAGTTTTTATTTTGATCGATTTCTGAAAAATATATTTAAAATTAATAACTATTGTAATATAATTAATTATTTATTTTCTTGATTTGTCTGGTAAAATGTGTAATAAATGTTTGCAGTACATCAACCAAAACGTTCTTTCTGACCACTTTATTTCTCCAAAGCAGAGATATATTTTTATTTTTTTAAACGAAATGCACGTATATCTCCCGCTTTTTATTTTAAAACGATAATACGACCTTGTCCCGAATTTCTCAAACATATCCAGTTTCCAAAATCCGATTCCATAATCTGGAAATGCCATTTTGGGAAAATCCTAACGCTTCCGCTACAATGGATTGAGTTTGACTCTCCTGTAAACGACTGATGACCTTCCTGGCTACCGATTCTACTAAGTCATCTTGCTGAGACATCGTATATTTACTGCTACGAAGCATTCAACGCATAACAATTGTTTTTAATCTCCTATTACAAAAGGAATACCGCAGGTCGCTCCTTACTCCTTATCTAAAACGCATAGTTTTCGACGTAGAGACTCCGCAGTAGAAAAGAAACGGAACCTCAAACTCCACTATAAATCTATAGAGAAAATGTTTTTCCAAACCTAAGAGTCGCACTTCAAATACTACTTGAATTACTATTTCATTATCAAATGCTAACTATGAACGTTCGTTCAGCAAATTAAAATAAATTTGCACATATTTACAATCAAAGATGAGACGGCTATGTCCTTTTGCATGCTAGGCCATACGAAACGCTGCTGTATCAGTTTCCTCGAAGCCTTGATGGCAGGATGTGACAGACGATGTAACTGACTAAAAATGTCATGGCGAAATCCGGAGGGAACATAAGGTCGAAATCTTGAATCCTAAACATCACAATAAAGTGATTTTCCAGGTGACAGCTGCATAGGCTGCAAGTTGAGATTGATGGAAGTTTTGCTTTTCAAGAAGGTTTGTAGTTCTGAATCCCGGTGTTGTTCATCCGCAAGGGCAGCAAACTTTATTGGCGAAGGAACGGCTAGTTCTTCAATAAGAGACAAGGTGTCTGCAACAATATCCTGCGTACCCTCAATATAACGGATAACTGTATAAAATTGCCCTATGAAGTCTAGGTGTCTCATCCGACGAGGGGAAATTTTATCTGGTTGAAAAGCATAGGTTGTGGTCCCTCTACCATATATCGAAAATATTTGACAGCTTCATAAATTCCTAATAATTCACGATCGTAAGTTCTGTATCTGGTTTGTGCTGGTGAGAGTTTTTTAGAAAAATATGAAAGTGGTCTCCATAATTCTTGATCTTTCTGTTGTAAAACTGCTCCTATATCTGTTGTTCATGCGTCAACGTAGAGTGATAATGGTTTAGACGCTGAAGGATATTGCAAATTTGTTGCCGATATTAAATCATTTTTGTATTTTTGGAACGCTTCGAGAGATTCTGTGGTCCAGGTTATAACACGTTTATCATTTTTCTTGCTGCCAACCAAAAAAGAATTTAGAGGTGCTTGTATGGTCGCTGCATGAGGTAAGAAACGTCGATAAAAATTGAGCATAGCAAGAAATCTTCTTAAGTCCTTCACTGTAGATGGTTCGGGAGTATCGCGGATAGCGGTGACTCTATCTGTGAGGTGTCGAACGCCATCAGCGTAAATTTAATGACCAAGAAAGGATACTCTTGGTTGACCGAAAACGCATTTGGAAGGATTAAGACTGACACCGTACTTTTGAAAATGTTCAAAAACTGTTCGCAAATGTGATAGGTGTTCTTGCTCTGAAGAGGAGGCGATTAAGACGTAATCAAAATTAGGTACACGAAAGTCGAGGCCGATTAACACCTGATTCATAAAGCGTTGGAACGTTTGAGCAGCACTGCATAAGGCGAAAGTCATTAAATAGTCCAAAAATAGTCCAAAAGGCTTAATAACCGCAGTTTCAGCTGGGTTAACGGGTTAACAGCTGGGAATATCAACTAGGTTAACGGGCGCTTGGTGATACGCCCGCTCAAGATCAAGGGTTGTAAAAGTAGCTTTTCCCTCTAAAACATGCATACAGTCCTGAATGTGCAGGACTGGGTAACGATCAGGAATTGTAGCTGCATTTAACCGGCGATAATCGCCACTTACCATTTCGTTTCAGAACTAGATGGAGAGGACTGGACCCATATGAACATGTTTGAAGGACGCACAAATCCCTGTTCCCGTCATGTATTGAAATTCCTCTTTGGCAGCTTTAAGCTTGTCCAGAAGTAAGCGTCTTGGTTTAACGGCAACTGGAGGTCCGATAGTTTGAATATAATGTAGTACATCGTGCTTGGTGTTCGGAAATATTAATAACTAGTGCGCGTGATTGTAGCGAAATTCTCTAAGAAGTTGATGCCATGGGGAGTTGCCTCGAAATCAGTTTAATGCTCAAATCTTGACTATTGCGAATTACTCCCGGATAAGTTTAAGTTGGTTGTGGAATCTATCAAACGGCGATTCTTAAGATCGACAAGCAAAGAAAATTTTTTGTAAAATGTCAGCGCCAATAATAGGACTTGAAACAGTAGCAATAATGAATGGCCATTGGAAGTTGCGGCGCAATCCTAAATCAACAGATATCAGGCGTTCACCAAAAGTTTGAATAGGAGTTTCCATTTGCTACATAAAGTTGTAACTTGGTAAGGCGCTTTTGTTCGTGAAAATGTAGGTGGAAGGACAGAAACATCAGCCCCGGTGTCTACAAGAAACCTTAAGTCCGAATTCTTATCGATGACGAAAAGGCGTGCAAAATTCCAGCCGCTGTCGTTCATGACTTCGAGCAACGGCCCTTCTCGTTTCCCTAGTCGTTATAACGACACACGGTGGGTGGCATTTTTTTGCCTTGTTTCCAAATTTGTGGTGGTAAAAAACAAATACCCGGAGGAGGGCTTTCATAACGTTTCCTCAGTAGGCTACGACGTGTATTTCCACCACGTGATGTGGAGCTGTTGCGCTGAAAAGGTTCAGCTTCGATGGCTACTAACTGAGCAACCTGTTTGGACAAATCATCAATTTGAGCCTGTAACGCCACAATACCTGGACCAGGAGCCCGCACTGCGTGTAATTGCGTAAAAATGGCCAGCACGTGAATTTTATCAACGCTTTCGGGAAGATTTTTAAGTGGCTCGCTACTGGCCGCTAAAATGGTTTGCATGTTAGATGGGAGTCTATTCATCCATAATGTTTTAAGAGTGTTATCCGTTAGGTTACCGGCGGCTAAGTCTGACATTTTAGACAGCAACTGAGAAGGCCTTATACCACCCGGCTGTAAATCGTGCAACAGCTGTTTGATTTCAACTGTCTCGGATTCTTCATAAACAGAAATTAAATTTTTTTAAAGATTTGTATTTGTTCGTCGCCGGTGGATTCAAAATTATTTCATGAGCTGATTGCAGTACCTCTGACTCTAACGCGGCGATCGCTGTATAAAATTGAGTTTCGTCGGCAGTAATGTGACTCAATTTAAACTGCGCATCCAATTGAATGAACGGCGATATCGCCACTTACCATTTCGTTTCAGAACTAGATGGAGAGGACTGACCCATGAACTGTTTGAAGGACGACAAATTCCCTGTCCCGTCATGTATTGAAATTCCTCTTTGGCAGCTTTAAGCTTGTCCAGAAGTAAGCGTCTTGGTTTAACGGCAACTGGAGGTCCGTTAATTTGAATATAATGTAGTACATCGTGCTTGTGTTCGGAAATATTAATAACTGTGCGCGTGATTGTAGGAAATTCTCTAAGAAGTTGATGCCATGGGGAGTTGCCCGAAATCAGTTTAATGCTCAAATCTTGACTATTGCGAATTACTCCCGGATAAGTTAAGTTGGTTGTGGAATCTATCAAACGGCGATTCTTAAGATCGACAAGCAAAGAAAATTTTTTTGTAAAATGTCAGCGCCAATAATAGGACTTGAAACAGTAGCAATAATGAATTGCCATTGGAAGTTGCGGCGCAATCCTAAATCAACAGATATCAGGCGTTCACCAAAAGTTTGAATAGGAGTTCCATTTGCTACATAAAGTTGTAACTTGGTAAGGCGCTTTTGTTCGTGAAAATGTAGTGGAAGGACAGAAACATCAGCCCCGGTGTCTACAAGAAACCTTAAGCCTGAATTCTTTCCGATGACGAAAAGGCGTGCAAAATTCCGGCCGCTGTTCGTTCATGACTTCGAGCAACGGCCCTTTCTTGTTTCCCTGGTCGTTATAAACGACACACGGTGGGTGGCATTTGTTTGCCTTGTTTCCAAGTTTGTGGTGGTAAACACAAATACCCGGAGGAGGGCTGGGTCCCCTTTAAGATCATAAGATCACTTTGTGATCAGGTGGGTGGGGAGCACTCCAGCAATTTCAACCCAGAGGAGGGCTTTCATAACATTTCCTCAGTGGG